ATTGGAGTATTTGACAGTATTTGACTCGAGTCGGCAACAGTATTGGACTCGAGGCGTTGACGGTCGAGCATTCCAAGCGCGTGCAGTTGCTACATGGTCGTTGATAGCGTAGGCGTGTACGGGGCAGCTTGTTTCTACGCTGACCGGAAACGCACTTGCCGTAGTGTTGCGATCTGTAATTTATGAGAGGTACCGTCGCTCTATCTCTTTATAACTTGACTTTGATTCTGCACACGACTAGCTAGAGTCTCCCACGGCGCCGCGGAGCTCGCTTGTTGATGCATGGTGGATTTTCGAACGCTTCGATATTTCCTAGTATTAGGGCAAAACGCCGAATCGAACCTTTTGAAACGAGGACATGTCCGGCTTTAGTGGTTCTATTGTATTGCATAATGAAACCAAGAGGCCTTTTTTTGCTGTAAAAAAACCACCAGTTGCGCAATTTCCTGGCCAAGCACACGCACGCCGCAGCATGGCCGCCCATGGGTCCGAGGTCGCCGACACGTACGAGTACGAGGAGCAGCAGGAGCGCGAGACGATGATGCGCATCTCGTTCCTGCCCATGAAGCGCTGGTATCTCTCGTCGCCGGACGTGGCCGCCAAGTTTGGCTCGTTTCCAATCTTTTGGCAAGACCTCAAGAGCTGGGCGCCGTACCGTGACGTGAACCGCCTCTACTTGCGCGCGACGGACGGCTCCTCGAAAGGTGATGATGCTGCTCCCGCGGCGCCGGCGGTTGCTAATGAAGCTGATGGAAAGGTCAAGACGCGTAAGAGCCGGTGGGGCGACGCGGAGGAGACGCCGGCGCCCAAGCGGCGCAGCCGCTGGGACCCGATCGAGGGCGAAAACGACGCGCCCAAGAAGAAAAGCCGGTGGGCGCCCGCGGGCGCGGCCGGCGCCGACCCGTCGACGTACCTCACGACCGAGGAGCAGCAGTCGATCGTGCTCCGCGCCAAGCTCGACGACCTCGCACGCAAGATGGCGAGCGTCGCGTACGACGCGGCGATCATCGAGAAGGACCCGAGTCGGTCGCCGTCGCCGCCGCCGCAGTACGACTCGAACGGGAAGCGCCTCAACACGCGCGAGATGCGCATGCGCGCCATGTACGAGCGCGACCGCATGCGCGTCATGGACCAGCTCGTCAAGGTCAACCCGCTCTTCAAGCCGCCGCCCGAGTACCTCAAGATGAAGCTCCAACGCAAGCTGCCGATCCCGTACAAGGAGTACCCGACGTACAACTTTATGGGGCTCATCATTGGCCCGCGCGGCCACACGCAGAAGCGCATGGAGAAGGAGTACAACTGCCGCATTGCGATCCGCGGCCGCGGCAGTGGCAAGGAAGGCCGGAAGAGCTACCACAATGACGAAAACGAAGACCTCCACGTGTTCATCACGGGCGACAAGGAAGAGGACGTCGAGCGCGCCGCCGTCGCGATCGCTGCGCTGCTTGTGCCCGTCGACGACATGACCAACGACCACAAGCAGCGCCAGCTCCGCGAACTCGCGCGCATCCAGGGCACGCTCCGCGACGACGATTACTGCTTGGCGTGCGGCGAGCAAGGCCACCGGCAGTTTGAGTGCCCCAACCGCGACAAGACGTTCAAGGCTGTCAACGTCAAGTGCTCGATCTGCGGCGACACGTCCCACCCAACGAGCGATTGTACGATGAAGGAGACGGACAAGGCGGTGTACGACGCGGAGTTTTCCAACTTTATGGAGCAGCTCGGCGAAGGCGGCAGCATCATCTCGCACAACACGATCAAGATCGTGCCCGACAAGTCGGCGCCGATTCCGGCGGCCATTGCGGCCAATGCCAATGCGAGTGCAGCCGTGGGCAGCTCGGCCGAGAATGCGTACCCCGTGCCGTCGGCGGCGCCGGCGTACCCTGCCTCGTACAGCGCCGCGTACACGTGGGACGCGCAGCAGCAGTGGCAGCAGTACTATGCGAGCTACTACGCGGCCGGCTGGTCGTACCACAATGGCGTCTGGTACGATAGCACGGGCGCGGCCCAGACAGCGTACGATGCGACGGCAAATGCAGCTGCCTACAGCTACAAGAACCCGACGCTGAGTGCCAAGACGGACGCGGCCAAGAAGGAGTAGGCGGCGTCGTGGCCAAGCAAATACGACTACTAGCTCTTGATAGTCGATTACGTAAACGCAATAACATGCAAAAGTGGTGGCAGGCAAATATGGTTTGGTGTTGGCTCCACAATCACTGTCGTCCAACAGCTCTGTGTTTTCCCGCCGTGACGAATACGAGTAAGCTTATGCAAGTAGAGCTCCCGGCGCGAAGTGACACACTGTCGTTGTTGCCGGTGGAGGCTGGAGCGCGAGCCGCGGGCCAAGGTGCTGGCACGGCCAAACCAGTGCTGTCGCTGACACGTCGACGACGAGCGATTTGAATCAAGAATGCTACGACGCTATTACGGCAGCCCGGCGCGAGGCCGTCGACCCCGGCGTGGAGTGGAGCCATTTGAGCCTCTCC